CTTATTATTAGGTTCATTTTCAAATCCTAAGCCATGTTTAGTAAGTTGCAAATTATCAAGAACATCATTAAGGTTTTTATGAGAAACACCAAACTTCTTCAAAGTTCCTTCAAGTTTTGCAACTTGATCCTTAAGTGATATACAAGAACTACATTTTGAATTTTCCGGTTTGTCGGCGCTTCTTTTTCCAAAAAACTTATTTTCTTCTTTTAGTTTTTTATTATCTTTTGATAGTTTATCAACTTCCTTCTCCATGGAAGTAAGTTGTTTCTTCAAATCCTTGTTAATTTTAGAAGCATTGGCATATTCATCAAAAAGTTCATTAAAGGCTTCTTGTACATCATCAAAAGTATAGGAATCTTTAGAAGTGGTACATACCTCTTCCGGTGGTTCCTCGTGTGCCATGAGACAAAGGTTGGCACTTTCGTTTTCTTTGCCTTCCGATGATTCGTCGCCGGAATCACCTCCCCATGAGATGTAGGCTCGGTGCTTCTTGAACATTTTATTCTTGATTTTGGCGTTTGGACATTTTGGTTTTATATGCCCAACTTCTCCACACCCATAGCATTTGGGTGGGTTTCCTTGCTTCTTTCCTTTCCGTTCATACTCTTGGCTCATGAACTTATGGAATTTCTTGAGTACGATCCCGAACTCATCTTCGTCACTCGAGTCTTCCATAGCACGTTCTTGACTTGTAGATGCCTTGAGAGCAATCCCATTCTTCTTTTGTTCACCTAGAGAGGGATACAGAATGGTAGACTCATAGGTTTTGAGATTACCTCTAAGTCCGTCAATGGTGACGTTGGTGATGCCAATGGACTCTTGGATGGCATCGGCTTTGGAGCGCCACTCCGGTGTGAGACTTCGCAGGATTTTTCTCACAAGCTCCTTGCCCGTGTACGTCTTCTTGAGAGCATGGAGATCATTAACGATATTGGAGAATCGTTCAAACATCTCATCGAGTTTCTCATTCTCCTTCATACGAAATAATTCATATTCATGGGTTAGAAAATCTATCTTAGCTTCTCGGACTTGATTCGTACCTTCATATGTGATTTCGAGCTTGTCCCACATTTCCTTGGCGGTGGAACAACAAGAGATCTTCCGGTAGTCATCCGGGTTTACTGCACAATAAAGAATGTTGATCGCCTTGGCGTTGTTCTCTATTTTCTTGATATCCTGCGCATCGTATTCTTCTTCGGTTTTGGGAACGGTGGTTTCCCCAACTTTCTTCATGGG